CACTGGTTTACAGTTAGCGAAAAAAATTCAAAAGTCTCTGAAGGTCTGGTAATAAGTGCTTTCTTGCTAATCCACAGCACACTCAGTCAAAATCCGCTCCCTTCAAGCCGGCCTCTCGGTCCCCGCTTTTAACTCAGTTTTTTTTGGGATCGGGATTTCCCTCCCCCTTCCGCTTGTTTGGGATTTTGGGGCGTCTTTACTCTCGGGATTTAGGCGGTTGCTTGCTAACTCATAAATTCACTCCCATTTTTACTTGCATTTGTTTAAGATGTAGAGAATATTGTTTCATTCGGATCATTTGCGAGCTTGGGCCGGTATGCACCTCTTTGTCATTGCTGGCTCCGTGCCGTGAGGACCTATTGGGGCAAAAAGGAGCCTCGATCCCTTGGCTTCCGCCTCAGGAGAGGCACCTCACATGCCCCAGGCTGCGACCCCCCTGTAAGGGGTTGCGGGGATCCAAGATCAACTCGGACCCCTCCCCACTGGCACGTTTGCAGGCCGCTCACATCAGAGCAACGATGGAGCGCACCCGCCTGCAAGTTGCCAAAAACCGGAAGTCCACAATGTTTAATTTTGATTACACTGAAGCAAAGTGAAAATCAATTTTTAACTAGCTGTATTATGTACAAAACAACTTCAACAAAAGGTGCCAATGAATTCTCATTGGGGCAAACAAAATAATGGTTGCAATCTTATGCATTCTCATTCAAGAGCAAGCTCTATTAAACAAAAGTGAACTTACTTCTGAGTGAAAAAATAAAGGATTTCCTTGTATTTTACACTCAAAATCTATTTTTTCTTGTCCATGTGCTATACAATCAGTGCTTTGAAAAGTTTAATGATGGAGTGAAGGTGTGTGATATATGTAATATTTAAAAAGTAGTTTTGTATGCCGACAGTACTAAGATGCTTATTTAGAAAGAACTTCTAATAAACTTTTATACTTTAAGATTTGAAAGACTAGTAGTGGTGGAATATGCCATCAAATCACAACTGACGTGGCAACCCCATAGTATTTTCAAGGCAAGAGACATTCAGAGGTGGCTTGCCATTGCCTGCCTCTGTGTTGCAACTTGGGACTTCCTTGGTGGGTCTCCCATCCAAATACTAACCAGGCTGGCCCTGCTTAGCTTCTGAGATCTGATGAGATTAGACAAGGCTGGGCCATCCAAATCAGGGCAATGACTGGTTTATCAAGATATAATTTAGCAGCTGATAGACTATCTATCGACTATTACTTTTAGATCAATCTTTTATTTTTTAACAGGTTAATAAAATGATTGTGTGTGTGTGTGTGTGAAAACAGATAGTATAAAGAAAATACAGAAAAGGAAAATTAATTATATATCATAAACAAAAAATAAGAAATAAAAAATATTTCTCCCCAACACCCACATCATTACACTAAAAGGTTTTTGGAGCCCTGTCTATAAAGAACAATAACAATTACTTCTGTTGAGATACATTTATAAGCAACATTCTACATTTCTTTTTTGGGAGTATTTTTTGTATTTTTATATGTGTATGTATGCATGAGTGTGGAAGTCAAGGCAACCTCTGGTGACTGACTCCTACTGGGGGCTTGCCTGGGCTATAAAAGTCAGGGCCACATTCGGCTTTTCAAGTTTTGTAACTAATCTGTTTCTCAAATAAATTATTAGTTTCACCATTGCTATATACTTAGTATTGCATACTTTTCCCATTGCTGCATACTTGCTATTACTTTTGGCAAATAGGTAATATGAAATACAAAAAGGAAAATAATGATATATCATATAATAGAAAATATTTCTCTGCAATACCCCTTTCATTACATAGAGATTTTTAAAAACTGTCTATGGAATACAGTAAAAGTAACTTTGGTTGGAATACATTTATATGCAACATTTTACATTTAAAGCTGATTCTTGTTCTGCTTCTTCATTGCAATACATTTGTATACAATGTTTTAAACTACTTCTCATTCTAAATTTGTCTCCTGCTAGCATAATACACACTCCATTTCTCCTCGAATTTCATAACTGATCGGTTTCTCAAATAAATTGTTAATTTCGCCATCACTGCATATTCTGCTAGTTTCTTTCCCCACTCTTCTAAGCGTGGGTAAACGTCTGCTTACCATTTTGCTGCATAAATATTTCTAGTCGCTGTCACTATATATCTGAATATCTCTTCCAAAATTCCATATTTTTTGGCAAATTGTTATGCAGTACACCTAATAAAGGGGCTACAGTGGGTCAAGTGGTTAAGACGCTGAACTGCAGACCGGAAGGTCGGTAGTTCAGCAATTCGAGACCCGAGTGCTGCATAATGGAGTGAGCTCCCGTCTCTGGCCTCAGCTCCTGCCAACCTAGCAGTTCGAAAGCAAGAAACTGAAATGTAGATAAATAGGTACCACTTCGGTGGGAAGGTAACAGCATTCCGTGCGCCTTGGCGTCCAGTCATGCCGGCCACATGACCACGGAAATGTCTTTGGACAGTGCTGGCTCTTGCTTGGAAATGGAGATGAGCACCGCAACCCTAAAGTCGGATTCGACTGGCTTTCGAGCAAGGGAAACCTTTACCTTTACCATACCTAATAACGCAGTCTTGACTTCCATGGGGAATTTAAACTTTTATATATTCTGCATTTCTCCATGTATTTCCTTCTAGTATCTTTTTGCCCACCACATATGAAAGAAGGTTCTGTCCATGTCTTAACATTTTTGACATTTTCCTTTGCAGTTTTTGTTTGCTTTCTCTATATTTTTTGGAGTTATGTACCATCTGAAAAACATTTTGTACCACTTTTCTCTTAATGCCTGACTGGCTGTAAACTTGATATCTTTTTCCCAAGCCGTTCCCACTGATGCATAGAGATCTGTTCTTTAAGATTCTGCATCCATTTAACCATACATGTTTTCACTTGCTCTTCTGTTTCTAGCTGGGGTAGAACTTATAAATCCATTGTAATAAATGCCCTTTTTGTTTTGTGATCAACTGTTTGGACTCAGTCATATCTCATAAGGCTTCATCTTCAGTGTTAATTATCTTCTTTAATCTTGGAAGTTGATTGATTTTTTTAAATTTAAGGTTTGTATTTCTTTTACTTTTAACATAGTTCAACAACAACAATAACAGTCCATTTACAGCAAAACATGTCTTTGATATTAGTGCTTAAGTACACATTCCTAAAAATCAAACAATACTTGTTAAGAAATAATGATGTCACACAAAAGTATTTATACCATATTATATTTTACAATAGCATTAAAGATTTTAAGTTTTCTGGAACCTCTTAGGCTGCGATAAATAATCCAATATGATATACCACACTTCTACTGCTGGGCAAAGATTCAATTAACTCTCCTGGCGCCCCCACCTTACATCATTAAAAGCTGCTGCTATGAAGAATTTGGGGGCTCTACTGAAGTTCTACTTTTCTAAGGGAGGAGGCATGGTAGACCCAGTTCTTAAACTGTATGGGAGTAAGATAATTCCAGCCATGCTATATGGATCAGAGATCTGGGGCTGGGGAGATCAGATATTGTCCTCATTAGAAATAGTACCACACTTCTATAAAGTCAAAACTGAATTTTTATTCCTTCATCCCTGGTGTCTTATCATGACTTAATTTTTCCCTGAGAGTTTATCATGATACTGTACAATAGTAAATCATTTTTATTTCTGATATTCTATTCTTGGTAGGTTTATATTGGAGAAATAAGCAGAGAATTTGGAGGGCTCAATAGATTCTGGCGTGCAAACCATATTCTCAACAGTCCATCTCTGATTATATGGCTTCTTTTTTGTGTTATAATAGTTTTAGTTGGTCCATAAATAATTATGTGAACCTTCGTCTAGATTCACTGATTCAAGTTCTTTTGTTCTTTGTCTTGAGTCTTTAATCCAATCAGCAATCCAAACCAAGCCCGCCATGTGATAGTATAATTTTATGTTTGGAACTGTTTATCTTCCTGTCTCTTTCTCATCTTGTAATATTTTAAAGTTTACTCTTGGTTTCTTTCCATTCCAAATAAATTTGTTTATCTGTCTCTGCCATTCTGTTAGAGTTCTTTCTTCTATATGTATGGGTAACGTTTGAAACCAAAAAAAAAAAAAAAGTTTTGGGAGTACGTTCATTTTAATTGCACAGATTCTTGCCAGCCATGAGATTTTTAATTTTTTCCACCTGGATACATCTGCTTGTATCAATTTCCACATCTTCTGGTAGTTATTTTTGAAAAGATTACCATTTTAGCCAGCCACATTCATTTGTAAATATTTAACGGGATCAGTAGCAACTGTACACTCTGTGCTCTTTATAATATCCTTGTGTTAAAAAATTTGTTATTATTTTAGCCTTCTTTCTGTTAATTTTGTACCCCGGGATTCAACACTGTCAAAACCATATCATCTGCACAGCTTTTCATTTTGAACGCTACATCATCCACTTTTATTCCCTTAATCCTGGCATCTTGTCTACTGTTTATGGCCAGAATCTCCATTGCAAGAATAAATAATAGAAGTGACAAAGGACATTCTTGGTGTGTGCTTTTTTCAATTGCAATTGCTTCTGTTAGAATAAAATGATTGTCTATTGAGTTTAGTACACTCACTATTGAGTAAATGGATTAAGGAGTGGCATTTAAATCTGGTGGATTTTTCAAAACCACCTCTGAAGATCTCTTGCCTTGAAAAACCTATGGGATAGCCATAGGTTAGCTGCAACTTGATGGCAAAATAAAACAAACAAATAAAAATTATAAAACAGATGGTTGGGGGAAAAACCCTGTATCAATGATCTTTCTTTTGATCCAGGCCTACGTTTCTGGGGAAAAAAATATTGACGTCTAATTTCTATTCCCATACATTTACGGCAGAATACTGAAACATTTGCATTAACTCTTGGAAATGCTCAAGCTCTAGGGTTATATGAAATATAATCGAACATAAATGAAAACTTCTGAAACTGAAACATAGAGAAAACAGCAGTTTACATTTCAGTAAATATATCAGACTTACTCTTCATTCACAGGCACAAAAATGTAGTCTTTATTAAAAATATTTATATGTCGAGTCCATCTTTTTACTCTTTTGTGTCTTCTCTGCGCCAATCTGTGGATAAAACCCCACCAATAATTCTGTTAAGGCTATTCATTCAGAACAACAACAGTATTTTTATCACTTTCCAAAAGTCAATAAAATTATAAATTCTTTATGAGTTCACTAGGTAAATCAATGTTTGAGAATTCGCTAACTATCAGGAGGTCATTTGGCCAGGCCCCAACAGCTCATCACTAAAGCTCCAGTAGGGTAAGGTTGCAAGGTGGAGCAGAAAGAAGACCGCAACTGACAGGATAGCCAGCAGCATCCATGGTTCCTATCTTCTCTCCACTGCTGTTCCCCAGGCAATCATGGCCAGAGATGTTGGTAAATATCCTGGATGGAGTAGCTGCATCTTCTTGGTAGCACCTACAATCCCTCATAAAATGGGTTGTGACCTTCCAGCAATTCAATATTTCTATCATTTGAAACTATTTAATAAAACCTGCCTACCTATTTAAAAAGCTGTCTTCTTCATGACCTAGAAACTAAAATAAACATCCCACAACTGAAAGCTCCATGGAAGATGAAGAAATGGAACACTGAGTTTTCCAAGAAACTGAAGGCTGTGGGAATTAAAACTGCACCCAGAATTTGTTTGAAGTAGCTATCTAATCCTTTTCATGAGAGTGATGAGAAAAGGAGTTTCAACAGAACCCTACAGAGATGTATACTGAGGAGGGGAGATTGCAAGAGCTCTGTTTAGTCATCATGATCATTTCTGAAGGTAGCCGTGTCGGTCTGCAGCAGAACAACTAGATTCGAGTCCAGCAGCACCTTAGAGACCAACAAGATTTTCAGGGTATGGGCTTCTGGTTTATGGCGACACGCTGGCAGACGCATCTCCCAGAATTCCTGGGGATGTGATCTGCGCACCAGCGGAAATGAGGGGGGGGCACGGGTCCCTACCCCCCCCCCGAAGCCTTGGCAAAAGGTTCCTAGCCATGGGGCTTTTGAGGGGTGGCCTCTTTGCCAGCGTGATGCTGGGGAATTGAGGCGTTCTTCTGCCCCGACAGTCCTGCCACTGAGTGTCCGTATGGATCTAGAGCCGCTGACCGGGACAAGCGTCGGAGATCGAGCATTTTAAACATATGCCGAGTGAGGTCGTATGACCAACAATGAACTGAGTCGGGTTAAAGCGAAACGAGAATTTAATAAGAAAGCTACCCCCTGGGAACGGCAAAAAAAGCGAGCGGGGGAGGGGCCCCTCCCATACGCATGAACTAAACAACAAAATATTTAGGGGGGAGCAGAAGAAAAAGCATTGAAATCTGTTTAGAGAGACTTACCAGAGCGCGGATAAGCATATGGGCGTATTTCAGAGACTTTAGCAAGTTTTCATAAAAGTAAACAATCCATAAAGATGGCGGGGGAAGAGGGCAGAGAAAGACAAACCAGTAAAAGTGAAACCAGCCGGCTTGAGCCCTCGACCGGAAGAGAACACCGAGCTCTCCAAAATGTTGGCAGAGTCCTTGCACCCTCTGCTGGACCAGGTGACTAACATCGGACAACAGCTGACAAATCTAAATCAGAATCTAGCAACTCAACAGCTCCAACTGACTGAGACTTTAAAATTACGGAGCAAACGGCTAAGAAGGTGAAGGAAATGGACGTTAACGCCAAAAAAGTTAAAAAAAAGGTGCAAAAGCTGGAAAAGAAACAAGTCTCTGAAGAATCACAACTTTTACAGCTGCAAATGGAGAAAGCAAATTTGGTCCTACAGTCTGGGTTTCTAACCCAGAATTAAAAGGTGAGAAACTAAAACAACTCCTGAGTGAAGCAAAGCGGAGTATCTTGCAAGCAAAATGGTTGTGGTCTATAGGTCCTATTCCAAGTACATCAAAAAGAATAATCTGCCTGGGGAAATGGTGGCTAGATTCTCAAAGCGACACGTGAGGGATTCTATCCTGAAAACAACTACAGGAACACCCTTGAAAATCGGGGACAACACTATCAGGATTCTAAAAGACATTCCATTCGAAATAAGGCAAAAGAGAAGGAAATATAGATTTAATCCTTTTTCTTCAAACAAACAGCATTGTGTTAATTCCAGAAGGAGTTATTTTCAAGGCAAAAGAGAAGGAAATATAGATTTAATCCTTTTTCTTCAAACAAACAGCATTGTGTTAATTCCAGAAGGAGTCATTTTCAAACTACAAGGTAAAAAAAAAAAGATTGACTGTTTCCAAAGCACGAGTTCCTGAAGGTGCAGCTGGGAGAGCCAGCCGAGGTCAAGAAGGAAGAAGATAACAGCAAATCCAGTGGCAAATTGGACTCGGGGTCTTCCGACGAGGACTCTTTTTCTGATAAGGGGGCAGCTGCCCCCAAGCGTACATATAAATTGAGGATTAGAAAAGATAACACAAAATGAAGGCTGAAGGACTCTGAAGTGTGCCTTTAAACTTAAGTTTTATTGTGATGCTCTGGGGGTTCTCTTGAATGGTTAAAACTTTGGATAAAACGATTAAAAAATTAGCATAGCCAACTATGTTCAAAGTAATATTAGCAATTTAACATTTATACAAGCTGTTGTGATGATCTCCTATTCTTGGGGTTTTAGTTAGTTGTGGTTTTCTTTCCTTTCTCTCTAGATGTAGTTACCCCTTCCCAATTTTTCATTGTAGTTTGTAGTATATAAAAAAATGCAATAAAAAATCCCCTCCAGGGGGACCAAAAAAAAAAAAGATTTTCAGGGTATAAGCTTTTGAGAATCAAAGTTCCCTCTGTCTGATATCCCTTCTTATCTGACGAAGTGAGCTTTGACTCTTGAAAGCTCATATCCTGACAATCTTGTTGGGCCCTAAGGTGCTACTGGACTTGAAAACAAAGATTGTGTCAAGAATGAATCTGGGTTATTTTTATTCTTGGGATCACATATTCCTCCCCTCTTCCCCCTGCATACGGAACTGAGATTGGTAACTTCCTGTCTTAATCAAAGGATTAAACCATAACTTGAAATCCTGGATTGTAGGTAAGCATATGACTCCAATTTATAGAAGGGTCTTGTTTCAGTCATTATAACAAAGAGTTGACTTCCTCTTTGATTGTGATGTGTGAATGTCTTCTTACTTGAAGCTCACCTGACGTCTTCATTTGGGTGCCAGGCCTGAACATTTCTTTTTACCCAGGCCTTGACCTGGATGGTTCCATCTCTCTCTGTTATGTTATTGATAATACTTATATTGCTGTTTTTAATCATTTTATTGTATTGGTTTTCTTTGGATCCTGCTAAACAGATCTAAGGACAGCTTCATATGAATTCTCTGGTACAGCCTTAATCTTATTACATTGTTCCACTCCGTTCTTCTAATCATTGTAAAGAACATTAGATGAAGGAGTGATTCTGTTGTGTGATACAGTCAAGTTTTCAATCAGTTTAAATGTATATAAATATTAAGCATTTAAAGATAACATACGAAAGGTTTGGATTTTCTTCTGAGATTTTTTCTGTCCTGGTCAGGCATTTATAGAAGAAACTGCTAAATATGTGTGACTGCTCAGCAAGCTGTCTGGGAGCTTTCTCCAACAAGAGGTACCTACAGAAGAGTAAAAAGATACACAAGCATTTCATTTCTTATGTTGATTCCATCCCCTTCCACTCATTTATGTGCAAAGGTTGGGTGAAAAAGGCTTCAGTATGAGGAATTATTTTTGCTCCTTCCATCACAGCTACAGTGATGAGGGACTACCACTTTTTGAACTGAGCAGTGAGGGGACAAGCCAAAAGTTGTTTCCCTCTCTCTCTCTCTCTCCTTTTTTTCCCTTGTACAAATGAAGACAGTTCCTGAATTCCACAGAGTACACTGCTAGTAAGTACCTCTGCCACCACGGCCAGTTTCTCCACTCCCTTCTCCTGCCTCAGGGCTAGCAAACCGAGGGGTAGCTGGAATACATCAGGGAATTAGATTTGGCCATTGTTACCATCCTAATCACCCCCTGAAAGGAAATGTTACTGCTGAATCCCCATACAGCCCAGAGCCATAAGATGCTAAGTGATGGGTTGAAGAAAAGCCTAATTTTGAATCCTAATAAGGGTGTTGTTTAATAATTTAGAAGGCAATACATCTCCTCAGACTAAGGAATTATGCAGTGACTCTAGGGCATCCTCTCAAAAGTAAAATATGTACAATCAGTGTAAAATTGATCCATATTTAACAAAGCACCAGAAATTAGTCAGAAAAGTTCTCAAGAGCTACTATAACTCCTACAGAGTTGCTGTGAGTGCCTTGGAGGAAAAGTGAGATGAAATTATACAAAATAATTTCCAGGTTGGAAATTATTGTCCATACACTTTTCTCTACATTCCAAATTAGTCTCCTCTAACACAATTAGTCCTGAGCAACCAGAGAGTTTACCATATTACTTTGCTCTGCTCTGGTTAGACCTCACTTAGAGTATTGTGTTCAGTTCTGGGCACCACAATTTAAGAAGGATATAGTCAAGCTGGAATGTGTCCAGAGGAGAGCAACGAAGATGGTGAGGGGTCTGGAGACCGTCCTATGAGTAAAGGTTGAAGGAGACTACGGGTGTGGATGGGGAGGTATTTGTGAATTTCCTGCATTGTGCAGGGGGTTGGACTAGATGACCCTGGAGGTTCCTTCCAACTCTATGATTCTATGATCCTTTATTACTCACTTAAGGTAAAAGTCAATGATCACATCATTAAGGAATTCTCCATACTCCAAACACTCCAAGTCCTCACTCGTTACACCCAGTCCTCCTTTTGCAGGTCGAGGAGGATAAACCATCAAGCTAAAAAGTAAAAGACACATGAAATAGCTTCTCTTAAATAAACAAGACAGAAATACGTCCAACAATAGGACAGTTTATGTTATCGGTACCTTGTATGACCCTCTTGACTAACCCAGTTGTCTGTCACTGGATTCATCCATAGGGCTACATCCTAATACTCTACTCACCTAAGGGCCGCATGTTTGGTTGACACGAGGCATATCTCACCAATGGAGAAGATTCTGCATTGGCAGGATGCACCTTGAGGTAAAGGAACACATACTGTGACCGATTCCGCAAATGCAGTTGTTCTGCCTTTGGTCTCCCATTTCCCCCGGTTGTAGTGCTCAATTTCCCACTATTTGCTGCGCAGCCACATTTTGACCTGCATCTCTCCCTGATTCTTCTTGATCCTAAAAAATGAGGGTGCAACAACTGCTTTTGCGAAATTGGTCTGGGTTGACACAACACACTACCCTTAGCTGAGCAGAATGGCAGAATAGAACTCACGATGCATAACACACAGTAAGTAGAAGTCAAGGTCAAAGATTTATGCTAATATGTTCTAGTGCTATTTCAATGATAACTACAATACAAGAATTAAAGAATATGGATATTTATACTTCAGTTGATAACCAAACACTTTTCAATTGCGTGTTCTTGAATCAATGGTTCATCACTGCACATTGATTAAATATATATATATAAAATTGGACTCTGCCTTCAGTGGTGTAAAACCATTCATGCCACTGGTGTCTGAATCATGATCAATCAGGGGATTAATATAATTCGGCTACATTAATTGAATGTTAAGGACGGCAACTAAAAAGCTATGACGTAACTTGAAGTTGAAGGTTTTAGAAAAATGGGCCTCAACTAATTAGCAAAAGTGGCTGTTCGAGAAAGACTGCTCAAAAGGCTTTTCAGAAATGAAACTCTTTAGTTAATGCCATGTTACGATGAATATACAAAAATTTCAGGCAATCATAAATTGCACTCCTGAGTCTTTGGAACATAGATGGGCTGTTCCTTGTAATAAGCCCCTTTCTCTGAGGAGGAAGCTCAAGTTGCTTTTACACTAGTCATTCTGTCTCGACTTGCCATTATTTATTCAGATGGCCATTATGAACAATCTGGGCATAACTGCCAAAACACTGTGGTCCCTTGTTTTCCATGCTGCTTGCCTGCCTTTTTTAGAGCTGGTTTGTGTCACTGTTTTTGTCTCTAAATGGAAATGCAGTGCTAGCTTATCTAGTGTGGACTGGCAAAACAATATTGATGCCCCTATAAACAGATGGGACAGCCACACAGATTGATAATGTCTCACCATTTGCTGATTACACTGCCATGTTAAAAAGCATGCAACATGGTCCCCTTCCATATTATTTTTGTATACAATACAATACAATGATTACAATAATGTTTTTATTTTAAAAGACTTTTTAAAAAGCTTTTACATTTTTGTCCATTTTGCTTGCAAGTGTGGAAGTTTAAAACCCAGGTATGGGGAGAAAGCAATCTTACAAATATGTAAATAAAATAAAAACCAGTATCTTCAATTACATTGGGGCATAATGGTAAAATAATGCAACTAGTGATTATTTTTTAAAATATAGAGTAAAACTTGGGATCACAAATATGCTTGTCTCTTTTATTTTCACATTTATTTTTCACATTTTGCTGCTGCTATGGGGAATACCTTGGTTACGCAATAGTAATGGGGATAGAGTGCTAAATTATTAAGTGCTATGCAGAATCACAGTTCTGGGTCCAGGGGCTAGCAGAAGGCAAAACAGCAGCATAAATTCACACTAGTGTGCAAAAAAAACCTCATCTAAGCAGAAACAGACACTTATGAAGCTATTCCATTTGAAGATATGCGCTGCTGGTTCATGCTACATGGAGAGGAACTAAATCAAATAGAATGAACACCCACTAAAGATAAAGGTAAAGGTTCCCTTGCTCGAAAGCCAGTCAAATCTGACTCTAGGGTTGCGGTGCTCATCTCCGTTTCAAAGCCGAAGAGCCAGCGCTGTCCAAAGACGTTTCCATGGTCATGTGGCACACGGAACGCTGTTACCTTCCCACCGAAGTGGTACCTATTTATCTACTTGCAATTTCTTGCTTTCGAACTGCTAGGTTGGCAGGAGCTGGAACTAGAGATGGGAGCTCACTCCATCATGCAGCACCCGGGTCTTGAACTGCTGAACTACTGACCTTCCACAGCCTGCAGTTCAGTGTCTTAACCACTTGAGCCACCGCAGCTCCTGAACACCCACTAGAAGGGTATAAATGTATAAATGTAATGACTTTAGAGCTATAATCTGCCTTTTTAGTTCCTCCATGAGACTGTCAACCAACAGGCCTTTTTTAATGTGCAGCTTGCTGGCTCCTAGCCTGGAGTGTCCATTTGTTAATGCCTCTATATGCCTGTTTCCATGTGGCGTGCACCCTAAAAGACTCCTGTTGATTCTGGTGTGCTGCAGGGGAGAAGGCTAATCTCTGTGTTTAAAGTCCTAACACTATAGTCTGTGATTCAAACACCTCTTTATTTATAATCCACTGCAAAGGGGACAACATGGGGTTGACTACATAGTAATTCTTCTTCTCAATCCCGCTACCACATACAGGCAAGTGTTCCTAAAGTTTTACTAGAGCTCAGTTTCCTTTTTAATAGAAGAAATCAGATCTATATATGACAATGACATTACTATATGAAGCGCCTTAATTTAGAAAACAGTACATCTATGCTTTGCTGTTTTCTGCATGATATATGAAAACAGCGAAGATTTTCAGAGTCAGCCACCTCTACCTTCAGTAATATGACATGCTATTAAAGTATTAATGACTAGCTTCTTTCTCTAGTCATCCACTCTCCCTTTGTGCCTTCAAACCCCTCTTCAAGATGTAGAGGAAGGACAGGACCCTCCCCAAAGTATTGTTGCTAGTCTTGTAATACTAAACATTAATCAATGGTCTTATATTTACTTTGCTAATAGTAATCAATGGTTTTAAACCGAATAGCCAAAGTAGGCCTGAAATGATTTTAAAAAGTAAAAAAGGCCAAGCCGAATATCTGTGTAAAGCAGACACCCAGCAAGAGAGCTGAGGTAAGCGCTAGACAGCAAGGCCTTGAAGAAATCTGGATACTCCAGTGAAATGTGTCAGACAGCTAAATGCTAGACAATGAACAAAGAAGCTTTGGATTAGGGCTGTTTGGCAGCAAGCCTACCTGCTACTAATATTCTTAATGCTTTAAAAATTTTAATTCTAATGGCCTATGAATATTACGGTTGGTTTTAAATTCTGTGGTTCATAAGTTACTAGGTTAAGATTTTTAAGAAGCCACCTATATCCTTATAGAGATTTTAGACATGATTTTAAACAGTCTTCTTTCTATCTCCTTCTGTAAGCTGGCTATTTAGGGGAACACAGATAAGGGCTAAATATGTTGCAGCTCCTGGTGTAAGAAGAACAATGGTTTCACAGTGAAAGTGTTTGAGAGAAATTACTAGCTTGTTCAACAGAGAGCCAGTTTTCAAGCCTGCTTTCTTAATAATCTTTAAATAATGCTGGATCAAAAGGCTCAGAAATATATTTTATTGATGCAAATTGCATAAGCTGATTTCTCATAAGCTGTTAAGTGCCTTAGTATACAAAATGTTTGTCTCATGGTGATTCAAAGGGCAGAATTACCCATACAGGTAGTCTGCCTGCTTATTCCAATGAAAGTTAATGTTGTCCTGATCTAATTTAAACTGTAGTCTTTAAAATAAGTTTTTAAAACCATAAGAAAACATAAAGCTCCGAGAAGTGGGAGGGGGGGCACTATAGAAAGCAATAAAACAATAAGCTTGTGTACAAAGTTGACCAGTATTGAATAGGCCAAAGACATGAAGGCCGATGTGAACCAAGACACATACATTTCAATGTTGCAAGTGTAAGTCTTTTAAGATGTATATCATTATAGATGGAACATCTGCAGTCAGGTAGCAATGAGTCCTTGTCCCAAAATATAACAAAGAACATTTTAGGGAGGGAGGCAGACATGAGAGCAGCCTTTCAGAAAGTAAGGGATCTCTTTGTTTGGCCTAATAGCAACAATGTATATGGAGCTCTCTCATGTGTCCATTAAGGTCAAGGTAAAGGTTCCCTTGCTCGAAAGCCAGTCGAATCCGACTCTAGGGTTGCGGCGCTCATCTCCGTTTCAAAGCCGAAGAGCCAGCGCTGTCCAAAGACGTTTCCGTGGTCATTTGGCCGGCATGACTAAACACCAAGGCGCACGGAACGCTGTTACCTTCCCACCGAAGTGGTACCTATTTATCTACTTGCAATCTCTTGCTTTCGAACTGCTAGGTTGGCAGGAGCTGGAACTAGAGACAGGAGCTCACCCTGTCTTGCGGCACCCGGGTCTTGAACCGCTGAACTACTGACCTTCCACAGCCTGCAGTTCAGCGTCTTAACCACTTGAGCCACCGCAGCTCATGTGTCCATTAGGTGTGTGCAAAAAAAAATGTTGGTATTTTTGGGCTTTGGGTAAATCCGACCTGAAAAATATTGGTAAATGCCAGTAAAGTATTTGGATTGGGGAATATTTGGTATTCCTGAATATATTCGGATCTGATATTCACCACCAGAGGGAAAGGAGGCATGTTAAAATGCCTTCTTTCCCTCTGGTAGCTGGAATCACTTACAGTCAGCTGTAAGTGAAATTGATAAGGGAAAGCCTCTGCTATCTGCCTTCCCTTCTCTAGCTGACATGAGGTAGCTGGAAAAGAGCAGGCAGGGAGCCCAGGCATGTTTATTTCCCTCAGGGAGGGAAATAAAGGCATTTAAACATGCCCCCCCCCTTTCCCTCCCTTCCCCGAGTTTCTCCGCAAAAGCAGAGACGCTCAGGGAAGGAAGAGGGCATGTCTGCATGCCTGCCCTTCCCTTCCCCAGCAAACCTGCCATGGCGGGCTAGCTGGGGAAGCCAAGGGCAGGCATGCAAACATGCCTGGGTTCCCTGCCTGATCTTCTCCAGGTGCTCCACAGCTGGAGAAGATTGGATCCAGGCGTGTTTAAAATGCCTTTCTTTCCCTTCCCCAGATCGGGAAGGGAAAAAAGGCATTTAAACATGCTCCCCCACTCCCCGAGTTTCTCCACAAAAGTGGAGAGGCTCAGGGAAGGAAGGGGGCATGTCTGCATGCCTGCCCTTCCCTTCCCCAGCCAACCTGCTGCGGCATGTTATGTGACATATTGTGATTTGTTGAACTCCTTGGATTGATTTCATGAGTTGAGGTGCTTCCCTTTATTCAGAATAAAACTTGGCGGATTTCTTCTCTACTTGGATTCCAACTACGTGTTTTATTATTGGGACTGAACACACGGGACACAGATTTGTGTAGCACATATTAACACTTAACAAAGCAAACAAAAAACCTTTCCTTTGCCTCATCTTAGCACTCCTCCATCGGCATAACTCTACCCAGAAATGCTCCTCTAAGTTATTGCTAATTTCAACCACTCTCACTGCCTACCCTACTCTAGTTCATCAGATGTGAAGCATGAGGTCCCTGGGTCAGCACTGACTAACTTCTACAAAATCAAAGAATACGTTGTGCACACAACCCTCCACATTCTGCTGATTCTCTCCTACCAACCACAATGCCCCTGTTGCTGCTCTGCATGCCGTTCTGGAACAATCCTGGAACCTCAGGAAGGGTGGGGTAGGGTTGCCCAGAAACAAGTATCACTGGAAGAGGTGATTGGAAGGTTCAGCTCTGTGAGAATAACTCTGTGTGTGTGTGTGTGTGTGTTTGTGTGAGCTTTGGGTGGGTGGGACGGGACCCAACCTTATTGTTTTCTAGTGTCTAGTATAACAATAGCAGTAAAATGTTAAATAGCAACAAGTAATAGGAGAAAAAAGTCTCACAACTACTGTGATTGTAGCACAGTGGTCAGAAGAATCAGAAACATGAAGCTATAACAGGGGAGCAAAACATCATAAGTGCATTAGGACCAAAATTCATCTCCTAGATTGCTTATTCTCCTAAAAATAATGCTTCTCTGCCTTTGAACTAAAGTATGCAATAACATATTTTGACCAGCCATGTTAACATAGGATTATTTGATAGTAACACTATTTTACATTCATTGGCTATTAAATTAATGCAGTACTTAATTGCTATATAAATTCAAGATCACTTAAACAACTGTACATACTAGTGAACAGATCTGGTCTCTTGGAACTCTTTCCATTCATCCTCTTTTGCAGATGAAATTGAAAAGGAATACTGGCCACCACTTTGCTTCTGCAGCAGAGAGTAACTGGGCTTGGTAAGGCTTAATTTTGATTCCTGCAAGAAAGAAAGGCATTATCATCTTTCTGGTTCTACATTAAAGGCCCCATTAGATGCATGGAACATGCCAACAGGACAGCTGAAATGTGAGAGGGGGCTGCAAAACACAGCATATAGTTGCCTTTTTATGAATTAGAAAACAGTTGTTGTCCCTGAATCAATCTACCATTGGGATGCAGAAAATGTGGGACAATCAGATCTGCTGCTCACCTTCAGAGTGGAAGCGAGATTTTTCTTCACCAGTTTCCCTCCCCATTATTCTTCTTCACCTGCCTTGTTGACTAAGAATATAACACTCCTTAGAAGGAGGATAGCTTCCTGCTGTGTATATGGAAAGTTTCTAACATGGACAAGACCTTCTCAGCGTGCACCTCTAAGTGAATATTCCAATTAAGGAATTTTTTATACAGAATTATTACAACTGAAGGGGTCTGTTGGGTATAGTTTTAGAAACACTACACAATTTTATTTGAAAAGGCTTTTGGATTCAAGGGACAGAATGAAAACTAAATGGCCTTTTCACAAGTTACTATTTGTTATATATGAGTTTACTTCACTTAAACTGAAATCTTACATAAATGTAATAATGATACGAATAGTTATTTGCTTTTACAGGGCAATTCCTCTTGGAAATATTTGATAAAGGAAGCTGTCTTGACCAGCTATGCTACGTAGATGGCTATCATCATCAGTTTAAATACACTGGAACAGAGACAGACAGGGATGAAGTCCCAGCTATACACGTGCCCTAATCAACCTGTATAGAAGCTGAGGGTGCTTGGAACCTCTAAAAACCTGCTGTTTAGACATATCACAATAGAGTTCATGTATGGGTGCAAACATGGATACGCCACTCAGATGAAACCAATGTCTTATTAGTAATATTAGGAGAAGGGCCCGGGGTGTGGAGCTTGCATTAGCACGACCCAAGTCACTCTCTTGAAACTTTTTGAGTCTTTAGATACAGAAGGGAGAAGGTTTAACCTCTTCCATGCCCCCTCCCTTCAGATTGCTTCCTTTACTCACTTGGATTCTGAAGAAGAAGAGAAGAGATTGGATTTATACCCTGCCCTTCACTTGGAGTCTCAGAGCGGCTTACAAACTCCTTTCCCTTCCCCTCCCCACAACAGACACCCTGTGAGGTGGGTGGGGCTGAGAGAACTCTGACACAAACTGCTCTTTCAGGAACAGCTGTGCCAGAGCGTGTGACTGACCCAAGGTCATATCAGCAGGTGCCAGTGGAGGAGTGGGGAATCAAACCCGGTTCTCCCAGATTAGAGTCCGTACACTTAACCACTACACCAAAGTGGCTCTCCAAACATCTAAATGAAGCAGCTCAGAGAAGGTTCCAGGCTCAGCACTATCAATATGCTGTGGTTTCTCTCTCATATTTCCTTCTAATTCTAGGGTGGCAGTGGAAGTTCTAAATCAGTGTCTGTAGGCAGTGAAAGATTGAATGAGGGTGAATAAACTGAAACTTAGCACTTGTATTTTGTCCAGACTGTGGGTCAGGAGTAAAAGCTAAAGCAGGAAATGGAGCTCAACCTGTTCCAGATGGAGTAACACTCCTCCCAAAGGAACAAATATGCACTTCATGGGGTACTCCAGGATGATGAAGAAGAAGAGATTGGATTTATACCCCGCCCTTCACTTGGAGTCTCAGAGCGGCTTACAAACTCCTTTCCCTTCCCCTCCCCACAACAGACACCCTGTGAGGTGGGTGGGGCTGAGAGAACTCTGACACAAATGGCTCTTTCGGGAACAGCTGTGCCAGAGCTTCTAACTGACCCAAGATCACATCAGCAGGTGCAAGTGGAGGAGTGGGGAATCAAACCTGGTTCTCCCAGATTAGAGTCCACACACTTAACCACTACACCAAACTGGCTCTCATTCTGGGAGAGGAGTCAGCCCAAGACCATCCTCCTCAGCTGTTGAAATTTAAATAGCTCCCAACAGCTCTTGAGTTCTCCCCCATACTGCCAACTCACATCCCATGCGGCTCTCAGGCTTTGTTCAGATTTTGTTGCCATGGTGACAACTGTGGAGGTTGCTGGATAGGTCTTGGCCAAGCTACCGCTTGTGCCCGGTACTCCCCCCCCCCCATAGCCCTTCTGGTTTGGCTAGATGCCAGGATCCTGCCAGCCTCTGTTTTTTTGCTGGGCAATTGGTCCTTTTACATGGTGGTAGAGGCAAGTCCACAAGTAGGGTACCAGGGACAACTTTGTACAACCAGAACAGCCTATTAAAGAACAAATTCTACAACTGTAAAAACATTTATATTACCGTATATACTCGAGTATAAGCCGACTTTTTCAGCACATTTTTTGTGCTGAAAAAGCACCCCCTCGGCTTATACTCGAGTGAGAAAAAAAATTACCCCAGAAAATGCCGCCGCTCCGCAGCCAGATATCAGCCTGTAGTCACTGCAGCCCGCCTGCCTAAACTGATCTAGTCACTGCAGCCCGCCCGCCTAAACTGGTTGCTAGATCGCCTCCCGACTGGCGTCTAGCAACCAGTGACATAAGAGAGAGGAGAGCGGAGACTGACGTGCCAATAATAACAGAGGAGTTAAAAGACCTCCTCCGCTCAGCAGAACACTAGAAGCCGCCGCTGCCCGCCCCGCCTCCACTGGTTGCTAGATCGCCTGCTGATTGAAGGATTTTAACTCTTATGTTTTAACTTTGTTCGCTGCTTGAGCTAAGGTTTTTGTACTTTTAAAGTTATTGTTGATACCATATTGTTTTTGTTGACCCTCTTTTCCACTTATAGAGCTAATTTACTGTTTCTCTTTGAAATAAATATTATGTGTTTTTAATGTAATTTTATTGGTATCTATTATTTCTGAAATTTACCAGTAGCTGCTGCATTTCGCATTTCCCACCCTAGGCTTATACTCGAGTCAATACTTTTTCCCAGTTTTTTGTGGTAAAATTAGGAGTCTCGGCTTATACTCGGGTCGGCTTATACTCGAGTATATACGGTATATAAATTATCCCTCAATAATACCCTTTAAGACATTAAGCTAACAAATGACATAAAGTCACTACCCTGAAGTATATAAGCGAAGGTGACAAATATCCTGAGCAATCCACACACTCATTATGACTCTGCCCACAGGAGACGTTTCAGAGGAGCCTTTGACTCTTGAAAGCTTATATCCCAAAAATCTTGATGGCCTCTAAGGTGCTAATGGACTCAAATCTAGCTCTTCATATACAGCAGTGACACACCTAGTGGTCATTCATGAACTGCTGAAGTAAGAGGCTGAGCTAGGAATGTTGGAGGACTCTCTTTGAAGACAGTGGGATTTGTATGGAATCCAACAAACAAAAATTAAGTCTGTCGCTTCCAACCTCCTCGTCTCAGGGAACGGCTCCATTATGCCTCAAGAGCCTTTCATGACCCATTAAGAAATACAAATGAATGGTAAAGAAAAATAAAGCTGAGTTACAAATGCAGATAAGCTTTCCTTAAGAGAAACTGCTGTTTCTCTTTCCAAACTTTTTCAGTCCAAGGATTCATTCAAGAACATCTGATATACCTGAGGTGGCAGTTGTACCAGAACGGAAGTGTTCTTCGTTTCTTGCTGAAACCAGGTATCATAATAATTAATGAAGGAGCTTTCTTCAGTGGAAATATCTTGAAGAAGCAGAACTGCTTGTTCCCAAGGCAAAAAGTCAGTGAGTTCTGGAGTGGAATTCCTCTTGCTTACTTCCAAAATTATCTTGGTTAATGTGAACTGCTCCTCTTCTGTGAGTGACTGTGACAGCTTAAGGAAAAGGAATCCAGTACTCTTCGCTATAATGAGAAAAGTACATGTGTTTAGCAGAGATTTATTAAAAGCATCTTTGAGCAGTGATTATTCTAATAATTCATGCTCTCTATGCATTTCAAAGAGTAACACAGGAAGAAATTAGATCAGTATTTCAGATAATAGTTTACAGTTAAAAGACAAACAAGCATTGAAGACAAACTGTAATTTCTCTGAAAGAATCAAAACATTTTCTTCTATTGAACTGCTAGATTAAAATCTTTCAAGAATAGCCAGTTAAATTAGCTGCATATCACTTAAACCATTTGGCTCTGTGACACTCCCATGCCTTCTGAACACAAAGTTCTTATACTAACAGAAATCTACCAGAGTTATAAGGTAAAGGTTTCCCTTGCTCGAAAGCCAGTCGAATCCGACTCATCTCAGTTTCCAAGCCAAAGAGCCAGCGCTATCCGAAGATGTTTCCGTGGTCATGTGGCTGGCATGACTAAACACCAAGGCGCACGGAATGCTGTTACCTTCCCACCAAAGTGGTACCTATTTATCTACTTGCAATTTCTTGCTTTTGAACTGCTAGGTTGGCAGGAGCTGGAACCAGAGACGGGAGCTCACTCGGGTCTTGAACTGCTGAACTACTGACCTTCCAGCCTGCAGTTTAGTGTCTTAACCACTTGAGCTACTGCAGCTTCCATATGAAGCTACAATTTTAAGATCAGATCACTACAAAGGCCTAAACAACAACCCTATTCCAGTAGAGCAAGGAGGTGCTCTGCATGGACTACAAGGACTCCCAAATTAGAATACTAACAAACCTATACAATCCTGAAAACATTCCAAACATCACACACAGATACCTACGCCCTGATACTACAATGCCACCCCATCCAAATAAATGTATCATTGTAATATCATGCTGGAGGCACAGCAAATGCCCCGCACCTCTACCACCAAAAGACAGGCTGCAGTGTAACTCAGATCCTCTGCACGAATATCCAATTGCATTTCTTACCCTTGCAAAAGACGGGGAAGAATCAAGTAAATCAGGCTTCCACATGATCAGGTACCACATGGAGGGCCCAGTTCACAAAGGACACTGTCTACCCAGTGAAGGGGAGAGGGCTCACATTACTCCTCATTTACACTAATGCAGTGCCACCCACCAGTATATAAGCTATATACTTTTGTGCCAGTCATACATCCTAATAAACAGCAAAAACATTGTTAGTACTGACATGTAGTACAGATGAACATGTTGTATCTCTGATTTTAACCTCATCTATTCCTGTCATATACGTTCTTATGTAGTTTATATAACCTTTGTAGAGTTCAGCAGCTGGCCAGGAAAGGTATAGGACTGCCTTTAATCCATAGGAGAGGGGTGTGTGCAGGTCTGCATTATGACTTTCATGGGCCCTAGGCACTTTTGCCTCTGTGGGCCCCTACCACCAGTTCCCTAGGGCACTCAAGGAAGTGATGGTCCACCCTCTCCTGAAAAAACCATATTTAGACCCAGCTGAATTGGCCAACTATTGGCCGGTGTCTAATTTGCCCTATTTGGGCAAATTAATTGAGAGGGCGGTGGCGATACAGCTGCAGGGCTTTCTGGATGATGCTTCCGTGTTAGATCCCTTCCAGTCTAGCATCTGCCCGAGACACAAGACAGAGGCGGCACTGGTCACTCTGACAGACAACCTCCAAAGACATCTGGATTGGGGCAGGTCGGCGATACTGTTGCTGTTAGATCTGTCAACTGCGTTTGACACAGTCGACCACCAGTTACTGGCCCACCACCTCGTCGACATGGGGATTCAGGGGCTTGCCCTGCAATGGTTTGCTTCCTTTCTCCAGGGTCGGGGACAAAAAGTAGCGCTAGGGGAACAGCAGTCTAGGAGGCACCTGCTTGAGTGCGGTGTGCCTCAAGGGGCAGTGCTGTCCCCGATGTTATCTAACATCTATATGCGCCCTCTTGCCCAGATTGCCTGGAGGCATGGGCTGGGATACCACCAGTACACTGATGACACCCAGCTCTATCAGATGTTGGGTAGCCAGTTGGACTCCGGACCGGAAGATTTGGAAGCCGTGGCTGGTTGGCTTAGACTAAGTCGGCTGAAGTTGAATCCAGCGAAGACTGAGGTCCTGTGCCTGAGTCGGGGCGGTTCCGGGATGGGGATACCACTTCCGACCTTCGGGGGGGCTTCATTGGTGCCAGCGCTGGAGGTGGGGAGCCTGGGAGTGCTCCTGGATCCCTCCCTTATAATGGAGGCCCAGGTAGCAGTCACTGCTAAGTCGGCCTTTTTCCATCTTAGGCTGATTAAGGCAGTTGGTTCCCTTCCTCGACTGCGCTGACCTGGCTACAGTGATCCATGCGATAGTCACCTTGAGACTAGACTACTGTAATGCTCTCTACATGGGGCTGTCCTTGTCGTGGATTCGGAAGCTGCAGCTAGTGCAGAATGCTGCAGCCAGGCTGTGGGAGCACATCCAGCCTGTGCTGAGGACACTGCACTGGCTGCCAATAGCATACAGAATCCACTTCAAGGTGCTAGTTCTTACCTTTAAAGCCCTATATGGCCAGGGTCCGACATACCTAGGGGACCGCCTTTCCCCATATATACCCCAGAGAGCACTACGGTCCGGGTCTCAAAATCGGGTGACCCTCTCTGGCCTGAGGGAGCCCAGGCTAGCTACTACCAGGGCTGGGGCCTTTTCAGTGGCGGCCCCTACCTGGTGGAATGAGCTCCCAGAGGAGCAGGGCCTGCAAGACGGAGCTCTTCCGCCAGCCATTTAATTAGGGGCCGCCGCTGCCATAGAGCCCTGGCTCGTGGTTTTAACATCGAGTCGATGCCACAAGAAATTATGAGCAGAAGAACATCTGAGAACATCTGGGAAGCGGAAATTCATTTTGAAAACAAGCCATCTAAATTAATCTTTTAACTGCCGCCAGCACTTTGTATTTGTTTTATCTGTTGTGTTTTAAATAATTGTATGATTTTAACTGTATTTATGCTTGTATGGAAGCTGCCCTGAGCCTGGTTTGTGGGAAGGGCGGGGTATAAATCTGATAAATAAATAATAAATAAATAATAATATCAGTATTAACATTATTTTTGATATAACTTTAAATACTTCAACGTTTTATTTTTTCTCTTTGAGGCAAAATTAACAATTTTTTGGGGCCCTAAAATTTCATTTTTTTTTCTGATGTGAGAAAAAAATTAAAACATTTTCATGGCCCCTTAAAAGTATTGTGGGTCCTAACAGGCACTGTGCCTACAGTGCCTAATAGATAAGTTGGCCCTGGGTGTGTGTGTCTTCAAAACTTTGCATAAGACTCTCCCAATTGGCTAAAACCTGATTTCCCTTAAACTCTGTGTATTTAGCTAATGTTGAGAAGTGTTAGGAGATCTGATTTTTACTGCATGCATTTTTCTATGGTTATAGCTTAAGTAGCACTTTTATTTTATTTTCCAATTCTTGCTAAGAAAAAATAGTTATTTAAAATAAAGTCATTAATTTGAAGAAGCTTTCTGCTTGTCTTGCTGGTTAATGATCAAATGCCTAGGCACTCATATTTCATTGTGTTATAACAGATAAGTCTCTCTCAGAGAGAGTATCTTATATAGATGATAGGGAGTCTTCCACTGTTCTGCTAACGAGGAGAATTCTCAAAGGGCTGAGTGGTACAGACTTCTTAAATGGATACAAATTTGATTATTCATCCCAAACATGTCACTTAGCATATTATCACAAAGAATTGTATCTTTGCAATTTGGATATACAAGTGCTTCTATAATTCCTCTTCAAACAAGTATGAGTAAACAGTTAAATATCTTTTAAAAGTATCCTGGAATAGATAGTTTGAGGATACAACCTAACAAGATATTGAAGTTTCAAAAGACACTTAACATATTAAGACACTTAACATAGTTTCTTAATGTCTCCATACAAATTTTCAACAAAGTCTTACCATAGCACTCATTTTCCTGGACTTTCCATTTGGGTACTTGATCATCAACAAATTAAATGACATAACAGTGGAGATCACTGTTTTGTGACATATAGCATTATATAAGGCAAATCTTAGCAAAACCCTCAATTCTGTCCTTTTAAAACATTCAGTGTTTTTATTTCATTGTTCCCAAATTAAAATCTAAATTCAGACATATTCATAGTGTATTCAGTGTAATTCTATGTTGCCTAGAATGCCTAACAAATGTACGTTAACTAGAAACAATACATACCTTTTGTGTTTAGCATAGATGTTCCTATTTGATTTTCAATCTGTTCCACATAATTTGATGACAGCCAAAGAAAAATTACAACATTACTCCTTAAAGATGAGGAATCATTCTTTTCACTCCACAGACCAACCTTTGTTAAGTGTCTGGTATCTACTAACAGGTCCATATTCTTATTAAGGGCCACTGTGGGGAACAAAATTTAAAATAAATAGATAGCCTTCATGACTAAATTAAGCCTGAAGACACAATTTCTCTTCAATGAAAATGGGCTGGATCAAACCAAGCACAAGTAAAAACTGCTTTTGAAAACCGCTAAGAGCCATTCTTACATAATTGTCAAGCTTTTAGTTAAGCTAAGCTTGAAGCACATCATGCTAAGAAGTGAACACTTGTCTCAAAGAAAGAGGCAAAAGCACTCATTGGGTTGGATCCAACCAACTTTTCTGCTGGTACAAGGGAAGGAGTGGTCCTTTTTGACCACCAACAAAAGCTATGCTGTGGTTCATGGGACCTACATGTAACAAGTCATGTGGAATGGGGGCCACAGAAAGGAGGGAAATTGGGAAAGATTCAGTGGAAAAGCTGTCCAGATTCAACCCTTGGTGTGACTTTGCACTTCTTTTAACTGTGGTGCCACCTATCTAAAGCAGCTATGGCATGCTTAACACATCAGATACAACCAGGGTGGGTCTTTTGCTAATGAGCTGTGTTGTGCTAATAACTCTGTTACGTTGCTTCGGTGATCTCATTCAAGAAATTCAGTGAAACAATGTAGTATCTTACCTTCAAGTGGAATCTTAATGTAACTGGTTGTAAACTTAAAAAAAAAAAAGAAAGAAACAAAACATCAGTCTTTTTAATGCACCAGTTCAGAAATGCATTTCAGTAATATGTTTGAAACTGAACTGGAGGAAAATAAATGAGCACTTAGATAATACATTTCAAACTTGACATTCCAATTTTTTTAAAAAAAAAACCCCACTTGCCTGATGATCCATTCACTTCAAAATGTGTTTTGCTTAAACTACAGAATGTATATCTCAAGTAAGTGGCTGGGACACACAAACCACAAATTCCTTTGGAAATGCAGTGGATGTTCAGACAATCATTCATGACAGTTCGCTGTTCAGAGGTGAACAATTCTATTAGACATACCTAAGCTTTGGAGCGTGCCTAAAGCAGCATTTTAGATCTAGGAGAACTTATTTTAGGACTGATGTGTCAGTTACCTAAGTATTAGAACCTTAGTCAGGGTCCATCAAAATCATCTCAAAATTTCCATCTGGCTGTCCTTGACCAGAGTCAGGGCCTTTTCAGCCCTGGCTCCAACCTGGTGGAACTCTCTGCTGAATGACATCTGTGCCCTGCGGGATCTAATGCAGTTTTGCAGGGCCTGTAAGGCAGAGATGTTCCACCAGGCTTTTGGTTGAGGACAGCGTTTCCATCTTGTCTTACACCTCTACTTCTTGCCTCCCCCTCCCACGAGGCAATAGCACACTTTGTAGTTATTAGTGCCACCTAGAAATGTCTGTTGTATTTTCCTATTCTTTTAACTTGTTTATTAATTTATGAATGTGCTTTTATTGTTGTATACCACTGAGGAGGGTGGTCTAGAGGTTTAATTTACAAATAAAGACACTTTGAGAAGCCAGCACTACTAAAAATGGCCTCTCTGCCTCATAATTTTTTTAAAAAAGTATAATCCAAGACATACATAGTCTTCCCTTCAGTTTTTCTGTAAATCCGAATACACCAACTGACTACAAATATCTGGTCCCTATGGTCATCTTATTTGGATAGTGCTAAATTTAGCAGCGTAGCCTTAGTCTGGTTGCCAATAGCGTACCAAATTCGCTTCAAAGTGCTGGTTCTTACCTATAAAGCCCTACATGGTGTGGGTCCAGCCTACCTAAGGGACCGCCTTACCCCATATGTTCCCCCAAGAGCACTACGGTCTGGGGCCCAAAATTTACTAACTGTACCGGGCCCCAGAGATGTAAAACTAGCTGCTACAAGGGCTAGGGCCTTCTTGGTGGCGGCCCCTACCTGGTGGAATGAGCTCCCGGAGGAGATCCGGGCCCTGCGGGACCTGATGCAGTTCCGCAGGGCCTGCAAAACGGAGCTCTTCCACCAGGCTTTCGAGTAGGGGCCGCCGCCTTCCGCCCCCCCCCGCTATACTGTCATCATGGGGGGTCGAAGAGGCCCTGGAATGAAACATCAGAACATCTGAATGAATGCTGGAACCGCTGAAGGACTATGGGGAACTCTGGACTGGTCCGTCATCTTTGAGGGTTCTTGGTAAAGAAGATCAATGAGCACTTTAAATTTAATTTTTATTGTGATTGGCTTTTAAACTGTACATGTGTTTTAAACTATATGATATATGTTTTTATTGTTGCAAGATTTCTTGCCTTGTTAGCCGCCCTGAGCCCTACGGGGGAGGGCGGGGTATAAATCTGATTAATAAATAAATAAATAAATAAGTCTTCCTGCCCATGGAATGGTATGTACCAAGCCTGCACCTTCAGTTAATGCAAAGCTTTACATGGGGCAGCCTCCGAAGAATGTTTGGAAATTTCAATAGTTAAAGGACTCTGCTATAATGATGCCAACTGGAACTGGTTACACAGAATACATGCCACCAGTTTTGAAAAATCTTCAACGGTTTCCAGCTTGTTTCTAAGAATACTTCGAAGTGCTGGTTCTGAGCTTTTAAGCCTTAAAAGGCTGGAGACCAGAACTGCATACCCTCATGTGAACCTGTTGGCTACTAAGATCTTAACTAAGATGCCCTACACTGTATGCCCCTACCATCAGAGGTGACTGAAGTGGCTATTATGAATGGGTCCTCTTCTGCTGTGCTGCTTTCCAGCATCTGATCATCTGGCACTTTTGAAATTTATGAAATATAACAAACAAAATACAGCATCTATCAACAAGTCTATGCCAAAATATACCATTATAATGGCTACTTAAATCACTAAAGCAATAAAAGGAAGCTTAAAACTGGGAGTTTGTTATCGCCCACCAGATCAAAAGATAGAGGAGGATTATAAAATGATGAATGAATTAAAGATAGCAGCTAGATGAAATAACTGTGTCATAATAGGTGATTTTAACTACCCACACATTGATTGGGTCAATATGCATGGGAAAGAGCAGGTAGAGAAAGAGGTAGTTTTCTCCCTTTCTCACAATACAAGAACTCGTGGGCCCTCAATGAAATTGCTGAGCGGTCGGGTTAGAACGGATAAAAGGAAGTACTTCTTCACCCAAAGAGTGATTAACACTTGGAATTCACTGCCACAGGAAGTGGTGGCGGCTCCAAGCATGGACGGCTTCAAAAGGGAATTAGATAAGCATATGGAGCAGAGGTCCATCAGTGGCTATTAGCCACAAGGTATAGATAGGGACTCTGGGGCAAGTGATGCTCTGTCATCTTGGTGCTTGGGGGAGTCAACAGTGGGAGGGCTTCTAATGTCCTGGCCCCACTGGTGGACCTCCTGATGGCACTGGTATTTCTGGCCACCGTGTGATACAGAGTGTTGGACTGGATGGGCCTTTGGCCTGATCCAACATTGGCATCTCTTATGTTCTTATGTTCTCATGTGTTCAAGTCGGGAAAAAGAGATTGAGTTCCTAGACACTCTTAATGACTGTGCTATGGAACAGATGGTCACAGAACCTACCAGGGGAGAGGTCATCCTGGATTTGGTCCTAAGTAGCGCCCAAGACCTGGTGAGAGATGTAAAAGTGATTGCACCGCTTGGGAACAGTGACCATAATGTTATTGAGTTTAACATTTGTATAAATAGGGAGTTGCCCAAAAAGACTGACACAACCACTTTTAACTTTAAAAGGGGCAACGTCTCTGAAATGAGGGGACATGTAAAGAGAAAAGCGAAAGGAAAAGTAAAAAAGGTCAAAACAATTGGGGAAGTTGGAGACTACTTAAAACTACAATCCTAGAGGCTCAGATAAAATATATACCGCAGGTTAGGAAAGGCACAAATAGATATAGAAAAAAGCCTGCATGGTTAACAAACAAAATAATGGAAGCTGTAAAAGGTAAGAAGGATTCCTTTAAGTAGTGGAAAGCTAGTGACGTTGATAAAAGGGAACACAGGCTGTGGCAAATAAAATGCAAGTCTGCGATTAG